GACAAAAAAAAATCTTCAGAGAGAGGGAGGGAATGCACATCGTCCACAGAAGTGCACGAGCACAATGCTGGCTCGGCTTGGAACAGAGAGACAGAGCTCAGTCAGACACAATGCTGTGGTTGTCTCCCCTCTATGGTTTAAAAAAAACTGCCAGCCAAGCAAATATTTTATTTCTGCTTTTCCTCACGGACGGCCCTTCTTTCAGTTTTGAGAGCCACCAGATAGACTCCAAAGCATTTTAGCCAACCATTTTCACTAAATATACTGTATATACTTTTTTAACATACAATTGCTTTCAGTGAGCAGTCGCTATTCTAATATCCAGGCTAGTGGTCTTATCTTTTTTTAACAGGTTGAGTTCATTTAAAAAAAAAAAAAAAAAAACACGTCAAGTTGGTTGCTACGGGTAGATGTGTCAGGTTTCAGTTTTGTTACGATATTTGTTAGAATATTTACTTTCTGGCTGACAGTTAGATGAGAGGACCCCACTGTCTGTATGATAAATATGAAGCTACAGCCAGTTAGCTTAGCTTTGTACAAAAACTGTAAGGCACTTCTAGTTGTAATAGTCCAGCAACCCATCATAAAACAAAAATAAAATGAATTGTTATTTTTACACATGGGTTTTTGTACGGATTAAACAAACAAGATTTTGTTGGGTATTTTAATCTGGTTGAAAACTCCCTGACTTTACAGTGTTCCCACGCTTCTGAAACCACCTACTGCTTGCTTTATGAGTAGTGATGATGTAGTAGTGTTTTTTAGTTTATCTGAAGTCAAAGAACAATTCCACATATTTCTGAGATGGAGCAGTTTATATACAATTCATGCCATGTTCTGGTTATGGACAATATGCTCTAACAATTTTAGTGTTGATCATAATAGTTACTACATAAAAGCACAAACATTTTGTCTATTTTTAGACAAAACTGAATTTATTCATACAAATCCCCTAGCGGTTATCATTTTGTAATGCCATTTCAACAAGACTTAAAATATTAAGATAGTCCAGATGCACCATTTTGATGTGTCGGGCTGGAAATGAGCCTTGGATTTTATGTCTGCACCAGTTTATTTTGCCTGGACAAGCTTCTTATTTGTTTGTTTAATGGAGCTTTAGGAGCCATGCTGCTGTTTGCCCTGCTGTCAGAATAATTGAAACACGGTGATCCCACAACAACACAACAGTGTATGTGAACATATCTGACTACACCAAACACAGGACCCAAATATGTGTCACTTGGATGTCAGCTGAGTTTTTACTGTGCGCTGTAATATTTACGTACAGAATGAGGCCTAAAATGTTTTCAGTGCACCACAAAATGTAATCTGCAAATATTGAATAATTATAATTGAACTGAAATATTACATTGGGATACCCCCCCAGTACAAACACTGGCTTGTTTTAGAATCGCCTGGAAATTCACTTAAGCATTTTAGCTAGGGATGGGGCCGATACCGATACCGTGTGTTTCAAGACTCAAATATTTGACATTTTGGGATTTTAATAAATATTGACATGACAATCAATTTGAAACCCTTATAGTTGCATATTTGTTTTCAGAATGGGATTTTTCCTGTTAACAGGGTTTCCTGTTTTTCTGACTTCCTTTTCTGACCTTATACTTACCTCAAGTTGCCTTTTGGGACATACATGCATACGTACATATCATACTTGCCTGCTGAGGAGTTTATTCATATTATCTCGATAATATCGGCCCTCCGATATTATCGGCCGATATTCACAAAAAAATGTAATATCGGGAATTATCGGTATCAGGTTTTTATAACCGATGTTTGTTCTGTAGGCTTCAGCATTTTGAGCCTGCAGAACGCAATGGGAGTTTACCGCGCTAGATGACGTATAACAACAACTACACACTAGACTGGTTGGTTCAACCGTGGCTAACAAGCAAACAATTTAAACGAATGATTTTAATATTAACACAAACACATTAACCAAAGCTAGCATTTAGCTAGTGATTAGCGCTTAGCTAGCGGTTAGCGCTCTTTTCAGTATTAATACAAATGAAAGTTGAAGTTGTTCTCTTATTTTGTACAGACAGTGTTTACATTTGGAGAGCCATGTTGCATTTATGTATGCATCCAGTGGGGCATCACAATAAAATCAGGCATAATGTGTTAATTCCACAATAGGAGATGTGTTATGTTGTTACCTAACAGTTTTTGTGTAAAAAGCCTGCATATATCGGTATCGGGTGATGTCGGTATCGGAAATTGAGAGTTGGACAATATCGGATATCGGCAGAAATGCCAATATCGAGCGTCCCTACATATAACGTATGTGCTCGGTTTTAGAGATGTGTCAACTATGAGACCTTTCATTTGACTTTCCTTGAACATGGTGGGCTCAGAAGAGGTGCTTCCTTTTTCTTAGAAAATGTAACGTGCAGTTCTTATTATTTATTATCTACTTCACAACAAACTTCACAATTTGTTTGCTTTCACCCGAGGGAGGTCAGAGTGCAGGGTCAACCCGAACAGCGCTGGTTGAGCTGATAGGGTTTCAAGGGCACTTCAGTGGAGTGGATCCTCCAACAAGTGGGCTTGAGCTTGGGTCGTAAGGACGAAGCATTGTCTCTCTGACTGCTCTGAACATTTTGTACTCTTACTGAATTTGTTGCTTTGCTTTTATGTTTGTTTTAAAGTATCTCAGCTACAAGTGCTGGAAGTGCTAGTTATGTTTGTGTTTATATGGGAAGAAGTTTTGTTTCTGCATTCCTGTATATTGAGAGTGTATGTGTGTGTTGTTGACAGAAAGTGTTAGGGGTTATTTGGAGTTCACAGTATCAGTAAGACATGTTAAGGCCCTGACACCCTATGCTGACGTTCAGCTTCTGGGCGGTCATTGGGTGTCTGCAGTCAATAATCTTACTTAGTTCTTGAAATGTGTGTGTTTCACTTGTTGGCACGAGCTTCCATTACTGGTGGCAGTTCGGGTAATTGAGCATGTTCAAACCAGAGAGGCAGTCAGCAAGCAAGATGACTGAATGACTGTTAATGACCCGATTTCTTCTGTGTGCTTTAATCTTGCGTCATCATCAGGGGAAAATGTCAGGTTGTCCAATAAACTCAGATTATGACTATTAGACCAGCTTAACATCAACATGCTAGCATTATCTTTAGCTATATTTCCACTACATGGTACAGTTCAACTCATCTCTACACCCTTTAGGTACCTCTACCTTGTTTTCCACGGCAGATATTATATGCTTTTTGTCATGTTATCCAATAGACCACAAGCACACTGCTGGTGCAAATGTGAGCAGAGAACTGCTTGTCGGCAGTCAGCTGGCCGCAAGGCCTCGCAGTGTTGTATCTGTCTGCCTTTGTAGGCGCTAGTTCTTAAAGGTCGGTTTGGTGTGTCAACATACAGCCCAGAGGCTAATGCCCTTTGTTTGAGTCTTGGCTCAGACAGCGCCACATTGACTAGCATAAACACACTCACCCTGTCTGTCTCTCCCCATCTCTCTGTGTATCACAGATGTACCCCAATATCTGTATGTAAGTCCAATGTGTTACATGCACTAATAGACACACCCAGCCCCCCCTTTTAGCCTACTTTATGTTTTTGGTCCAAGGCCACTCCCTGATCCAGTAATGCTGGTCTTGTGCAGGGTTAGCAGCTGGGGAGGGCCAGTGACAGCTGGCATTCTGCAGGCTCACTGGAGCAAATGGACCCAGGCCACTCACACTACACAGGGCCAATTGGACAGCTGTCTTGGGCTGGGTTAGAGGGAAATTATGAATTTAAGGGGAGAGGAGGAGGGAGGAAAAGAAACTAAATTGTGATTTTAGAAAATAGTGACTGAGAAAAAATGATTGAGTCTAATATGCATTGAAGATTGTCAACAGTCGTTTCTGTCTGATGCCTTCTCTCTCCAGTGAATCTGCGTTAAGGAAAGGCACACAGCCTTAGCCAGAAACGCTTTTTTCCTAAGAATTATTCAAATGAGTTGTGATCAAAGACATTGAAAGGAATGGCTTTTAACAAACTTGACTTCTGAGTAAAACTTGACTTCTTCAGTACAGTTCTGTCTGGATGTGAGGGGTGAGATTAATGCATTTACTTTAAGCTCCTCAAAGAATCAAACAAGTGACAGCTTGGTTTGTGACATGTGCATCTCATCCTTTTCTGTTGCTTTTCAGGCTTTATAGCCTGCTGGTCTGCGGTGGCTGTAAATTAGACTGAGATTAGGAAATAGGCTTTGTCTGCTTTTTGCAACATTATTGAGAAGAAGGCTGCATGACTCAATATTGTTGCTTAGTATTCCTTGGAAATTGATACATGTGTAGATGTTGTTGAAATGAATACTCCAGTGTTAAAATAAGACAATCCACATATAATGAGTGGCATGGCATTTGCCATTTCACTTGCGAGGGACATTTTACTACTACGGAAGGGGAAAATATCTTGCATTTCAAGTTATGAATGAAAGTTGTAAAAAAAAAAAAAAGCTCATGGGCGCCTTTTTTAGATCAATAATAAGCTGCTGCAGCATGAAGGTTATTTTCTTTCCGTACCACACACCTCTCAAAAGCTTTCCCACTCATAGACAAAGAAGCACACACGTACTGAGTTGGAAACACATGGATGCACCACCAGCCCAACACACACCTGCACTGTCGCCATACTTTGTCAGATATGAATGCCCTCGCAGCTGTCTGTGTCACTGAGGTGTACTGCTGAGCGAGTCTCTAATAGCTAAATGCACAGGTCACATGCAGACACATTGTTAGACGCTAGCGTTTTAAATTACATTTGTTTGATTGTATTTGCCTCCTCTCCTCTGCTGTTAGTTTTGTCGTTTCCTAATATTTACCAAGCAATTCTCTTTCATACAGTACATGCACCTCCTGAAGTCACAGGAAATTAAATGAAATGGCCTCAAGCTAAATTTAGGATGTTGGTTGCTTTCCATTGTTGACTTTTGTATGTGGCACTAACCTGAACAACTCTTTCTTTCTGTCAACACTAGGTATTAAATGAAGAGTGTGATCAGAACTGGTACAAGGCAGAGCTAAATGGAAAAGACGGCTTCATCCCCAAGAATTACATAGAGATGAAAGCCCATCCGTAAGTATTATGCATACCTGTTTCTCTAATGTTTTCTTTTCTGTCTACTGTTGGGACCAATCCACTTTTACAGTGATATCCAGTATTTCCCATATTTAAATTGCCTCCCAGAATTCTATGCGTTAGACGTACAAGCGGAGCTTGAGCTGGACCATGAACCCGTTGTAACGTGACATGAGAGAGTCTGCAACTGAGTTAGCTAGTAACAGTTGGCTAACTCAACATTTCCTCATACAGTAGGGCAGCTCCAGCTCAAATGCTGCAGCCAGAGTACTCACTGGGGCAACAAACATATTGCTCCAATTTACATCACTTCACTGGTTTCCAATGAAATACTGAATATTTCAAAATATTGCTCACTGTGTATAAATCACTTAATGGCCTACAACCTAAATACGTCTGTGTCCTGCTCACTGATTACTAATCTCAGACATGGCCTCCTAACAACACCTTTGTTATGGGACCACTCTCTGGAGCATCTGCATGATAATATCAGATGTACCTCAGCTGTGTTGTGTTTTAGAAGCGAGCTTAAGACCTACCTGTTCTGTCAGGCCTATGGCTAGCTAGGGCCATCTGTCTACCTGTCTGTCTCTCTTTCTCTCGCTTTCTCACTTTTTGGGCATGTGTTTAGGTTAGTGGGTGGGCAGGGGATGAATTACTTTAGAATGTATTTGTGTTTTATCTTATTTTGTTCATATTTGTTGTGTGTGAAGCACATTGAGATTCAGTTAGATATTTTAGTCTCAAAACATCAACTTGTGTGTAAAGCCAACGTTAGGAGGGGTGGAGGTTGTGCTGCATCGTACAAATCTACCAATTTAATTAAGCATCTACTAAAGGTATTGTATTGGCAGATATCCAAATTCAAGTATCAGAATCAGATTGGAACTGGGTAAGTGGATTGGTGCGTCTCTGCTTCTGCTGAAAGGTTAATTTGGGCATATTAACATATTGCTCAGGTTGGGCAGGCTTGAACTACAACTCTTATGAGACTTGATTGCATGTCATGCCTTGGTCAAGTGTGTGTGGTGTGCGTGTGTGTATGAGTTAGTGTGTGTTAAACCACTTCAGTGAACGCCTGGCAGGATCCTTGGAGGACGTTACCTCTGGACCTGCGTTCAATGCCAGATTAGCTCTCTCTTTATTAATGTGCTCGAGGCCTCTTACCCTTAATTGAATATTGACCTTATTGCATCATTGCTGTTGTTGCAGATATTAGATGTGCCCCTTTGTTGTGTGGGATTTGTATTGGTAAGAACAATTCTCAAATGTTTATAGTCTTTATTATGGTTGAGGTGAATCCATATTTAGCTGTGCCTCATAGATCTGTTTACACTGAACTTCTCATAATCTCAAAATTTTTGTCAAAAAAGTTTTTAGGTGCACCAGCACAAAATGTAGGTGCACCCAAAATTTCCATTGCGTCGCCTTTAACGCCGTAAGGTCACCTTTTTATTACTCTCCATAACACTTTCATATAATGTGAATGATTTTTAACAAGAATAAGGTGTAGAGAAATGCTTGTCTTTATTTGAAGCACAATTATTTATAAAAAGAAAAATAAAGTGTTTAAATTGCTTCACTGAGCTGAAATTGAACATTTCAAACTCAAACATTTCAAGTAAAATAATTATTAATGATAATAATAATGATTACTACTACCTGCCGCTGAAATGCAGCTGGGAGAGGGGCCACTTTCTCTACACACACTTGTCACGGCATATCGTGTATTTTTATACATGTTATGTTTTTTTAAAGTTTCGATATGAAACGTTGTTAACCCGCTCACAAATGCACTTTTTCTGGCCATATTCTGACCACACTGCTGACAGTACACGCAGTGCATTGCGTTACGTCCTTTGTTGTACCTCAGTCAGGGAAATTGTTTCAGCCAGTCCTTTCTGAAGGAATACATTTTTACCTTTTTAATTTGGGTCTCGGAGCCGGGCTCTATCCCAGACTCTGTTATCTCCTCCTCTGGTTCCGAGTCTGATGCTGTCGCTGAAGGACTCGGGGCTTGGTATTTCACCAGGGACCGAGGGCTCCGTGTCTTGACGGGATGGACTCTCAGTAGTGGGGATGGATGGGATTATAGTAATAGGGCTGGTTGTAGGCTTGGTTTTCTTAATGAAAAAACTTTCAATATTTCTGCCTCTCTTCATTTCCCCTCGTTTTTGTCGCGTCTATTTTATTTTTCCGTTTCAGTTAGTCAGCTACTCTCACGCTCAGGTCGCGCGCAATTTTTAACACACACAACTTAGTGCGGTGAACAGGACCACAGCCAATCAGAGGCAAAGACCCGCCCGAGCTCTGTGTCTTATTGGTTTAGAACACGATATGATCCTACCATGAGTGTGTGAGTTCGGTCACAGGAGAACACAGAGAGATGATGCGCTTGCGAAATAAATTTATGTTTTCACCCGGGCAGCGCCAGGTGCACCAGTGCGACCTAGAAAAATTATTAGTCGCACTCTTAAAAAGTTTGGTCGCATGTTCGACCAAATTGGTCGCACTCTGGAGCCCTGATACAGAAAGGCAGCATGTACCATATAATACAGCATAGCATTTAGTAAAACATCCTCTTGGTTGACCGGAGCACTGAAACAAGATAGTAATATCATCGTCTCATTACTAAAAAATGCTGTCATTATTCTTTACTAACGTCATTCTTTTTATTCAGCCTCTGTTCATTGTCCAAACATGTCAATACAAAATGGTCAAACTCAACTCTTTATGAAGATTAGCATTGATTCGCACCTTTTTAAAGACTGTAAATGTGAACTTTTCTGTTAAAATTGTTAATGGAATTAATTAGACGGTGAGACTAAATGATGATTTTGGAATATTTATATGTTAGCATATACCCCACCCGACAGTGTCATCAGACTCCATGAGAGACTTGTGCAAACAGTTTTCACTGCCTGTTGAGCATGTGGCATTTTACCCCTCAACTGATCATTACTTTATTATTACTTTGTCATCAGGGGTTTAAGAATACATTTACTGGCTGCCACTCATCTCGACCACATAAAAGAGAGCAGCAAAGGCTGTGCCATTTAGCAAGCTGCATGTGCAGGATCTGGCATTTCTCCCCATTGAGGATCGGACCTGGCAATTGGGTGGTGAAGTAGGGTATTGTATTACAAATTCTTTGTTCCACAGCAGGGTAACGGCCAATGAATTCAAACAAATTATTTTAAAATACATTTTAAATGTGGCTAAATCTATTCTCATTGCAGCACATAATACAGACAACAAAATGGGGGCAGTCAGCCTGGTCAAGGCTCATGTCATAGCCTTTTGCATTAAAAAACAGACCAAAAACCCCACCCAACCCCTCCTGAAGCTCCTCTCCTCAGATGTTGTTGTGAATCCGGTATAATTTGTGTCCCACTTGTCTTGAGGAGTAGAAGAATATGATGAACTACACTGTGATCCAATATAGTGCAACCTGTGGGAATTAGATTTAAGTGGAATGGTTTCTGTTAGAGCTGCAGCCAACTACTAATTAAATCAACAACTATTTTGATAATTGATAAATCGTCAGACTGATAATCAATGAAAAACAATTGTTGAAGTCCTAGTAGCCCAAGAATTTAGATGTACTGTTAAAAAAAAAAAAAAAAAAAAAAAGGAAGAAGAAGAAGAAGAAGAAAACCACCCAGAACAGTAATGGACTAGAAACAGTGGTAACAGGGCAATGAAGTGGCTGGAATTTGCCTTTGTCTCCCATTGTGGTGACAATGGAGTGCCATGCGAAAGCGCCAGGCACCCACACAGCTCAACAGACGTGCACACACAGCTGCACTATACAGCAGAGTACAATAGAGTATGGCTCCTTTCAGTTTGTACACATCTTTTCCCCTGCCCAACAGTAATTGTGTTTTTGTGGCTTATGCTTAGATTTGTGTGAAAGTCTATTAAGAATACGAGTGGTTCGAAGCAACATGAATACTCTGGAGCATCCCGCTCACAGTTGTGGAGGTGTAGGTGTGTATGTTGCTGATAGTACTGCCAGTCGTTCTCCTCCCCCTATCGTTTCCTTGGCTCCATTAATTGCTCTGCTATCACTTTTATCAAACAGGAAAAGGGACTCTGTGTGCAGGCTTGCTCTGCTGCCAAGCACAGATACAAAGCAGATCAAGAATTGGCCATTTCATTATTGATTTTCACCTACGTGTAAAGGAGCCAAGATGTCATCTTTTGGCTGACTACTTTTTAATTATTTACACAAGTAAAGAGCTTTTCACTGGCTAGGTCTGCCATTTGTCTCTCCCTCTCTCCATCCATCTTTATTGCTCTTCACTTAGTCCCTCTGTCAGGGCGTTCTCACAGTGACACATTGGTAGCATATATGCAACCAAAAATAAACGTATGCCACTTAGAGGTCCACTGTGTAACATTCAGGAGGATCTGTTGGCAGAAATTGAATATATTCATAGGTATGTTTTCATTAGATTTATAATCACCTGAAAATACAAATCATTGTGTTTTTGTTACCTTAGAATGAGCCCTTTATATTTACAGACGCCAGCGGTCGCCCTCTGTGGAGGCCCCCATGTTTCTACAATAGACCAGAGTGGGTGAACCAAACACTGGCTCTAGATAGGGGAGTTTGTGGTTTTTGCTGCCACTGTAGCTGCTCCTTGGTGCTTAGAAGGGGAGGGTGAACCCTACATACTGGACCTTTTTTTAAAGTGACTGAAATCTTGCCACCTCTATATCTCAAATTGTATCTGTAATTTGCACTCCTTTTTTTTTATTTAGAGACTTTGAAATACAGACTCTTGTGAGTGCACATTAGGACATTTTACAGAACAAAACATTTATTTTCTGTGTTGACTTTGCCACTGTAATTAGATAATAATTAACTACTTCCTGGTGTAGGGATGAACAGTGCAGTTTCATGGCCAGTGCTTGTATAATTATTTTCCTTACTTCCTGGTATGTACATACAGTACTTTTTCTCTTTGGCCCAAAGATCACTCAGAGTGCATTCAGAATTATATGTAGTTCTTCATTGACTGTCACCACTGGACAGCTTGGTGGTAAACACCACTGTCCCCACACTATTGCACCTCAGTTCAAACCTGTCAGCCAGCAGCAGGTGTGAAGTTTGTGTGATGTTTGCACACCCTCAACCTATCCTCTGCAAGGCTGTGGACACACGGAGGAAACTGTAGGTTAGCTGCACTAAATTTCTCCTAAGTGTGAATTTGAATGTATGTGTGTTCACTCTGTGGTACACCAACAAAGTCAAAGGTGTACACCAAAAATGGAGTGTCATCGCACTGCCTTAACGCTGCACTGCATTATTACAAAGTGAGGGTCTTTTGCAGTTTTGGGTCTGCTTACTCAGTGCTTACTTGTACCTGTTTTCTATCTCCTCCAGGTGGTTCTTCGGGAAGATTCCCCGGGCCAAAGCAGAGGAGATGCTAAACAAACAGAGGCACGATGGGGCCTTCCTCATCAGAGAGAGCGAGAGTGCACCAGGAGACTTCTCCCTCTCTGTGAAGTAAGTAGCACCGCACCAACGTCCCGCTCAGGGAAAATCATGATTCACACTCACACTGTGTTCTATAAATACAATTTCACATTATCTTTACATCAGTGTTACAGTTTCCCACAACTGATCAGGTTCATAAGTTTCCATACTTGGTATGTCTGAGTCATCAACACAGCTTCTCTCAGTGCTGCCCTCTGGTGACCAGGGTTGGCTGGTTGTGATCATTTGTACTGTGCGTTGGACGTCAGCCCTATGAGTACTTACTGTTTTAGCTGACATATACAGAGCTCATTTCCTCTTATCTGTCTCTCTCCATTCTGACCTTCCCAAAAGACACAGTTCAAATCAGTTCATGGCAGGTTACATGTAAAGTTGATGTCAAGATATGGATCTTAATTACTGTCTGGACTGTCCTGATTCCACTTAGTCAGCCTGTATTGAATGTCAGTCTGTTATTGGCGTGGCTGATTCATTTGACTAACACTTACCAGATTGTCACAGACACATCTAATGCATTTGATAAGTGAGGTTAATGTCCGAGTGTTCTACATCCTCATATTTTTCCTGTCTGTGACCTTGCAGGTTTGGAAATGACGTCCAACACTTCAAGGTTCTTCGTGATGGGGCTGGAAAGTATTTCCTATGGGTGGTGAAGTTTAACTCCCTCAACGAGCTGGTAGACTACCACCGCTCCACCTCAGTCTCTCGCAATCAGCAAATCTTCCTGCGAGACATAGAGCAAGTCCCCCAGGTAAGAACTCACGCCCTGGGAGAGAACACACTTGGGGATCTAGGCTTGAATTGGTGGCAGAAAAAAAAACAGTAAAAATGGCAATATAGTCCCTCTCATTTTATATATATATTTATATTTATATATATATATATATATATATATATTTTTTTTTTTTTTTTACAGAATGGTATGGTGTATATAAACCATATTGATGTGTTTTTATTTAAGGATTTAATTCAATATACCTTTCAAACTTAGTAGCACCATTCATGCTTCGATAGTGATCCTAATCTAGATCACTTGTGGGAAAGGTAAGTTCTTACAGACTCAGAGAGAGCAATGCTGGTCGTCAGCATAACCACATATGAACAAACTGCAGAAATGCTCTCTGCAGAAATGGTTTGGGAGAGTCTGAAAAGCTGCAGAGTGTAGCTAGTTACCACTATGTGTTCAAGAACAGTAAAACTGAATTATGGTCACAGAGAAACAGAATGAGAATCCCCTCTAAGCTGTATGTGTTTAAAATACTGATGCAGCGTTAAAGCCAGCTACATAAGTGATCCCAACTGAGGTATGAATGCACTGAATGCATTGATTTAAAAGGCAGGAGTGTGTCATCACATCCTCACTTAGACTTTATTAAATAACTTAACAACCTGTACTGCTTTCTAAAATGTGCTCTAAAGTACTTTACATAAAAGTACAACATGCTATATGGGTTACTTAGTTTGAATGTGGCTGTGGCTTTGTGGGTTAGGTTGGGAAGATGGTGCGTAAAAACATCTGTATTATGGTGAGAATTCATTTGAATGTATAAAATTGTATTTTATACACCCCATTTAATCCGGTTGGTACACCTTTGAAAAAGATTATTCAAAATCCTGCCCCACAGCTAGCTGGCTTAACAATAAACAACATGCTCCTATTGTTTTTTTTTTTTTTTTTTTTTCTAAATTACAAACACCAATTAGGAAAAACAGAATGGCTAAACAGGTGAATATAGATGTGCTGTATTGTAGTTCTGATGCAGTGAGAACCCCTGCATTACCCCAACTCCGTATCAATAAACAAAATCAACAGATTTATCTGAGTGACTGTGATTTCACTCAGAGTTCATATTAACACTGTGGGCCAGTAGGCTGATGATTGTGGTAATGACGTCTTTTGCATTAATCTCATTCATAGTTTCACCCAGAATAAACAAATTATAAGTCACAATCAGTGCAAAACTGTATTAAATTTCTCCCGACTGTTCAGTGGCAAATATTTTGTAGCCGTTTACCTTATCACCTGTATATTATCAATGTTATTAGGTTATCATAGATTTCTGCATTCTCGAGTAAGTAAGAAGGCTGTTGAGGCAAGTCACTGTGTGTTAGGTTTCCATAAAAAAACTATTTTGCTAGTTTAGTTTAACATCACTATTCACCGTTGCCAGTTAAAATTCTCTGATTGCAATGAACTTTTACAGTATAATCGGACCCCTGTGGCACAGGTGTTTGCTTACAGTACGTTAGTGTGCCAGTAGTAAACATCAGATAAAGACAGCATCAGTGAGGGTTAGCTTAAGAGCCTGGAGCTAGTAGCATTTATGTTACCTATAAAATACTCATAATAGCTTCTCAGTGAGAGCCATGCAGATTTAATTTCACGTGTGTGTGTGTGATATTTGCATGAGGAAGTTGGCTACAGTGAAGCTATTAGCCTACAGGTCCAGAGGGACAACTGCAGGGCAACGAAGAGAGGAAGTATGACCAAAATCACAGAGAAAATAAAAGATCTGAGAAGTTTCAGGTAAGACACAGGGAAATAAAAGCGGTGATAACGAGGAAATATGTCTGTACCAACCGTATAATCCCAGTGTCACACTGTGGAGTATTCCCAGTGGAGAACTGGTGACATGAAAGTTAGTGTGAATTAGTAAATATTTTTTGGGACATCCTGAGGCAAAGGGTCAGAAATTGGTGTGAATGTTTCATAGTTGCTGTTTTTATTCACATTGCGCCCTCTTTTTTCCCTCTTCTGATTGTACAGCATCCCACATATGTGCAGGCGCTCTTCGACTTTGACCCCCAGGAGGAAGGGGAGCTGGGTTTCCGACGCGGCGACTTCATCCAAGTCCTGGACAACTCTGACCCCAACTGGTGGAAAGGAGGCTGCCACGGCCTAACGGGCATGTTCCCCCGCAACTATGTCACGCCTGTCAATCGGAACATGTAAACAGTCAGACCATGTATACAACAACAACAACAACAACAACAACAACAACAAACCACCACCACCACAACAGCAACCACCACCACAACAGCAACCATCACCATAATCATCATCATCGTTCTTGATCTCATCAGCCCCCATCCAACCCCCCAACCACCCCTCCACCCCTCTTCGCCATCCCACAATAACAGGAGCAGACAGGAAGAACGTGAACAACCGAAAGAGAGAGAGAGATAGAGAGAGATAAAACAGGAGTAGTGCTGTCGTAGGCGTCACTGTGTGGGTGGCAGCTGAGAAAAATCAACTTTTACTTGTGCTGAGAATGTTCACCTCCCTAGTGAACGCCTCGGTCAGGATTGAACTGTCTTTGAGGGAAATCTAAATGCAGAGAAACTTAAGAGTAGTGCACCAACCGTGAAGATAACCAAATGATTCAACCGCTCCCACAGCTGCTTCTGTCTTCTCCTTAACTTCTTAACATTCTGCCTTTCTTTTGTTTTTGTTTTTTGTTTTTTTTGTTTTTGTTTTGCCGCATGTTGTTTTAATCACATAAATGAAATGCCTACCGATAAATCCTAACTCTGTTTTAAAGAAAAACAATTAAAAATATAAAAAAGAAGAAATGGTTTTAAAAATGTACAAAAAAGAAGAGAGAGAGAGAGAGAGGGAAAAAAAAAGATGCAATCTACAGTACAGCAAGTTTCCATGTCTGAGATCATTGGCACGTGAGCATTGTACATCAGCCATTGGCTGTATAAATAAATCAACTATAGAGAGAATCCATTTTTTAAGAATATATATTATATATTTGTATGTGTTTTGTCTGTTTTACCTCTCATCACAAATTGTATTTTTTTCCATTTGTAAATTATGTTCAATCTTTTGTTAGTCTGGATAAGACCTGGTAGCTCTAGAATGTGCTGAATTGTCAGTCAAGGTTTGTTTTTGTTTTTGTTTTGTTTTTCCTGAATCTATCTGAGGGCTCTCAGATAACACAGCATGATATTTAAGGGGTCATAAATTCCATTCGAAGAGGATTCTCTTGTCTATAATGCAAGGAAAGTAAAGTTAGTTCTTTGAGAAGAACCTAATCCTGTCAGGAAGCTAATGTTGACCAGCAAGTAGAGCCATGAATGCTGCAAGAGCTGTTGTATTACAAAGCCCTGTATAAAGGTCAGCCACCTTTTTCAAAGCCAATGTATTTATTGCAGCCATTTTACTTGGGCAGTGAATGTAGCTGACTGAGTTCATAGACATTAACATGAGGGAAGCAAGGTCGGAGAACTGAACTACACAAACCATGCAAGGGATTTTAAAAGACATGCTGAAATAGTAATGTTGTCAATATTCATTTATAAAGCGAGTGATGTATGAGGACATGTACAGGTAGTTAGCATGCACATTCACAAACATTCATGACATGCATGCATCGGCAGACGCTCTCCTCTTTGTTATACCTGCACGTAGCAGAGAGGCAGAGTTTGGATAATCACATTGTGTAATCACCAGTGCAGATCTGCAGCTGGCACAGATTAACAGTTGAGAAAACTGAGAGATTGTCTTTTATGCTAAAAGTTGAGAGATCAGCGTAAATGATGTAAACGTTTTTTCTCTTCCTTTTTTTTTTTTTTTTTTAATTCCCTCTTGCCTTTTGTCCAACTGGCGTGTGGTCAAGCACTTTTTTTTTGTCAAACATTTTGATTTCTGGTCTGGTCCCGTGTGTATGTGTGTGTTTGTTTACTTGTGTTGTGTTTTTTTTTTGGTTTGTGTTTTTCTTGTTCTCTCTGGATAGTGCCTTTCTCTCTGGTGTTTCAGTGTCTCCGACCTGCTACTTTGAGCCCCCTCCCTTTACGGGGCCTGCCAGTCCTGCAGTGACAAACAGTGTACATATTCCAACCTGTCCCATCCAACAACTGCCCCCCCTCCCACTTCCCCTCCTACATCAACCCGCCTTCACCTTTATCCTCACCAACATGGAACTCTTCTTATTTAAGTGTCTCTCGCCTTGTCTTACCTAATGATACTGTTTTTTTGTTTTTGCTCTTTTTTTTATTTGCATTTGTTTTTTTGTTTTTTCAATTAATAAAATGCAATTATTAAAAAATGAGAATATTTTTTTGTGGTGTATTTCAGAAGAGTCAGTCGTTGTCAGAAAGGTTGTACGTGTGCCGACCTGTGCCACCTTTATAACTACTGTTTTCTGACTGTGTGTGTGTTTAAGGTTTAACAGTTAAAGGAACAATCGCCTTCATGCCGAGTGTTGAGGAGATTATCATTAGTATCTAACGTGAAAGGGACTCTACAGGTGGAGTGTAGTTAAAGGGGGACGTTGTAGCTTTTGCTCTACCGCTGTGGCCACAGTTGGTAGTTAAAGGACCAGTGTGTAAGATTTAACGGCAACTTCCAGTGTAGTTACAGATTGCTACTCCCTCACTTCACCCTATCTCACGGTGGCCGCAAAAAAACACCAACGGCTCTATCCCGAGCTAGTGTTGTTTTTGTCTGTTCTGGGCTACTGTAGAAACTCTTAGGCTCTTTCTGAGCCAACAAAAACTACTTTTCTTTTCTTGTGATTATACACTAATGAAATCAGAATATTCAATTTCTACCAGTAGATTCTCCTAAATGTTACACACTGGACCTTTTTAAGGACATTGAACTCTCCTTAATTTCTGGTGAGCCTCATTGTGTTTATTTCCTGTTTTTACTTTTGTGATAAAACCATTAAAATGTTACATATGTAAATGTTATATGTGACATATAAAAATAATAATAATATAATAATTAGAACAGATAGGAGCTGTGTTGTAAGCAAACTGACTCACTTTTGTATGTTGCACAATATGTATGTGTATATAAAGTGTGCTAACATTAGCCATCATGAGCAGTGTGACCCCTGGGTGAGGGCAAGTTTGCGTTTTATTGCTCATGAACTTTTCATTTGTAGGAGGGAAAATGTTCCTTTTTTTTCAAATGTCTAGCTTCAACAATACTGCTGACCTTTAGTCAAAGTTTTAGATTCATAAATGCATCTTCCCACCTTCTGAGCAGCCGGTGGTTTCTATAAATGTCGGTGCAATATGATAATCAGCTTGCAAACTTGGAGCTTGCTTGCGATGAGTAATCCATCGCAGTAACTATCGGGCGAGCTGTTGCCTGTTAACGCAGTTGAAAACACAGATTGTTTTTTCATCAGTGGATGCTGGTTCGGTGTTTGTGGGCTGCTCAGGAAAAAACTGGGTTTTAGAGCTCCGTTCATTTGCTCCAACCGTGTCACAAAGAGAGAACAGCTTTTCAAATAAATCCATGCTTTCAGTTGTGCATCATGACCATCACTGTTTTATTCCTCAACAGTCAGTCAGAAACGGTAGACATACATTCAAAACTGTACAGAATGCTTATTTGACTAGTCACATAAGAGATTAGTCATGCTTGACATCCTAACCTTAGATCGTTTTACCGATCCAAACACAGTCTAATGATGCTGCCGCTGTCTTAAATCATCTATGTACATAATCTATATACGGTATCTGCAGACTACAGAATTAGCATCTCCAACGACCCGAAAGGGAACTCCTCCAGACAGCAGAGCAGTGACAGTGAGTCAGTCAGTGACTTTAGTGAAACGCCAACTCAACAGTCCACATTTCATTATGAAACACGCCCAAAGTGTCTTCTCTTTCTCTCGAGGTGCAAATGATGTGCATGTGTCAGTTGATCTGAAGAAGCAGTGAAGAGGAAGCTGATGATTTCATTTCTTGAAGGGAGGCCCGGGGAGCTCTGCATGCAGCACTCTGCTGCAGCCAAGTGAGATCTTTAACATCACGTTAGCCACGGTCTGGTGCACTGTCTGCTCCACATTTTGACTTTTAGCACTTTGGCTCTTCTCTTCAATCTGCTTTTCCCCCGGCCTTCATTTTTATCACGACTGCCTTAAGCAGACACTGTTACATCAGTGTTGCTGTCCCCTTTCTAGCCCTCTCATCTGGAATGTACTCTAGTTATGAAAGACAGCGGGCTGCTCCAGTGCCTCTATTCATCTTCATGACATTCACCAGTAATGTAAGCCAAAGAGACGTTTGCACTGTGTGTGTCTCCGCTGACCACTGGTGGCACTAGCAGTTATTCAAATAAAATGAATAAAAGAGATTTCCGGTGTACACTACGTATATAGAACTACATAAAATGATAATTGTGAGAGGCTTTTCTAAACTGTAAGGCCTGACTCTGCCCCCGGGGGTTTTACCTCTCAAGCTTGACTAGGCTGTTTGCCATATGGTGCCAGCATTAAAAGCCCACAGCTCTCCCCTGCGTGTGGAAATTTTAAGATGATTTGAGGATTTGCAAGTGAGGAGGACATTTCGTGCAGAGTTCAGAAGATTATTATCAGTGTGTGATCTAGTGACCGGTTTGTGCCCCAGCATCATTAGCATAGTATTTTCAGTTCAGTCTGGACACACACATGCACTGACAGGGTTGTTCAGGAATAGATACTGTTTGAGGTAAATAAAGTCAGATGTCTGGATTTGGTGGGTGTGAGACTTAAACCCTGATTTGGGAAACTGCATTTGCAGTTGTATGTAGGCATGGAAACAAAAACAAAGACCTTGTTGTTTACTGTATATCATGGGACATTATCTTCAAATGAGGACAAAAATAACAAAGATCAATGACTGCTTCCGGGGCCAGAGGGATGGCCACCCCTGGAACCTGATTGGCCAGCCCTGGTCCCCCTTTACCAGAGTCAGAAGGTAATAGGTAGCTGAGGTAGTTAGTATGATGGATATTTTACTGAACAGGCCGACTGGGTGCAGGCCCAGTGATATCAATCAAAGGGCTACAAAGAGACAAAAAACCACTACAAAGATGTAAAATATTCACAGAGGGACACCAAAATGACCACAGAGACACATTTGTACTCGGTTTGTGGGTGTATGTGAGGGGACTTTTACGTGTCCGAGAGCCGTTGTCTCATAATGTTACTGGCTGTGGGCTATTTGGAGTTATATTTTATTTATTATATTTAATATTCATTTATCACCCTGCGTCCCTCAGCTCGAGCTCTTCAGTCTATTTCAGCCCATGTTTACTGTTGTTAATGATGTCACCTGAGTGGGCTGCAGTCTGCCGCTGAGATTAAGTTTAACCCTCACTCCCTCATGTAATAATTGTAATTATGAACTCATGGAAACAATCTGTGTCCCTGTGTTGGTGTCCGAGATGTGATAGAGTTATCAGATCACTGGTTTTAACTGCAAGAGCGCAAGCATTTATCTGGCACGCAAAGGTTTTCCACTCCTCTCCCCACTGGCAGACACAGGTACAGGAGAGGAGCTGTGACACACACCTGCCCCATGTTGACCTTCGTTGCTGTTTTCAGCTGCTCTTCATGCAAATAGCCCGCGTATTGCAAACACTGGATTCTTTGTACCCCTGCCAGCTTGTTACTGTTGTTGCCTCACAAACAGCGAACAAGGCACACTGTTGTTTTAAAGTACAGGCAGCGCTGAGAGGTGACAGGTGGAAGGAGAGCTTATCCTCTTAAATAATGTCACTCTCACATAGCTGCAGATAAATGTTGAAATATTTCAATCCAAGTCTGTTTAAGATGACTTGGTACACTGAGACTGCTGAACTCTCTGTTCAGTCATTTATGGTATATTACTGCCACCTACTGGCTGATCTCCACATTACATGGAGATGGCAAGATTTGTGGCATCAACTTTCTGTAACTTTCAAAGATATTCTCTCTCAATAAAGATATTTCTTTAAATTACATACAGCCTACTTTGCAACAACAAGGTGGATACAGACAATACAGATGATTTTACAAAAGTGCATTATAAAGTATATTCCTTCTTGCTGAATTAATGGAACCAGTGTGTATAAAGGTAATAAAATAAAGTTTGGCCTTTCAAACTGTATATATATACAAACACAAAAAAAAGTTTCTTCTACGGAAAGCATAGTCTCCACTAATGGGTTAAAATGTATGACTTTTGTATGTGTAGTCACAATCTATCAAAGTAAAACCCCTGCAGCTATGCAGTAGGGGGCGCTGTTTGATTACTTAAAACCATCACAGCGATAACTCCCAGTCATTGAGTTGAGCTACAGCCACGGCCAGTGCTGCTTTGTTACCGAGAACACGACATTTGTCCCGCAAATATCACCTTTCCTGTGAATGTGAGCATATCCTGACATTATATGTTCAATAATATGGTTCAAAGGTACTATCTGACAACCGAAAAAAAAAGTGTGCCGTTGTCGGCAGGATTCGAACCTGCGCGGGGAGACCCCAATGGATTTCTAGTCCATCGCCTTAACCACTCGGCCACGACAACTTACACCTATAACGTCATAGTGACATCATTCATAGTTACATTAATATTATAAGCAATAGGCAGCAATATTAAGGAAACTATAACTAACCCCAGTTTAAACACAGTTATACAGTTATATAGAGGAGTATCTGACCGTATATCATATATATATGAGATATATATAATTAATTTATGTAGAAAGCACATTAACCATGTAACAATCATTCTGTATCATATTAATGTTTACATTTGTCCATTTGTCAGATTTTATTATTTTATGTAATTGCGGTATTACTTATTATTATTACTTATACTTATATTTTACATGCAAAACATATGATAAACTGATCAAATATGATGCATCCCTAGTTATAGTTTAACTCAGCAGTATAAAGGGTTTGCTAGTAAGACTTTAGACCACGTTTCAAGTAGAATATAAACATCTAAATTAATAATCTGTAGAAATATCACATTAGTTTTGATAATAAGCTTTCACACATTGGCCTATTTGCGGCTAATCTTACCATGTGCAATCGAAGACAGCCTCAATGTTTTATCTTATAAATGCATTAATTACATTGGTGTTTGCTCGTATCTCTGCAAGCAGCTGCAACCAGCACAATGCTCCTTAACACTGAAACCGCACACCTACTTCAATAAGTAATGATAAAAGTGTGACTAAAAATGTGTAACTAACTGGGAGTGATAGTCATTTCGGTTATTGTTGCCACTGAGCTGGAAGCAGTGTCACCACGTGACTCCTCCAGTGAGAGCCTGCTGTTTGTTCAGCCAGAGAGGCAGAGAAAAAGAAAAATGGCGGCTCTAGGCGAACCCAAACGGGACGCCGGGCTAACATTTTGAGCTTTCACGCCCGAAAAGACACGGGGGCTTCTCGGGGTTTGCTGCACCGTCTGAATCCCCACCGGCCCAGCTTCGCAGGGGTGTCGTTTTCGCTCGCGTTCGTGTAGGCTAAATAAACGCAAAAATTGGGATAGTAAAATAATATCTTCCGCGGATCATGAGAGGGAAGAGGGGCAGGCCGCCCAAACCGCTACAACCCGAGGAGCCGTCCCCAGCTACGGCCCGGGGACTGAGACCGAGGCGGAATCTGAAGCCCCGGTTGAGGGACAGCGGGGATGAGGACGCCGAGAGCCCCACAAGGGAGACCCCGAAGTCCTCCAGAAAGAGGAAAGCGGGATCCGTCACGTCAACACGGGGCAGGGGACGAGGTAGAGGTGGCGGCGGTGGCAGAGGAGGAAGAGGGGGTCGCGGAGGAAGGCGGACGGCTGCGTCCAAAACAGTGGTGTACGACGACCACGAGAGCGAGGAGGAGGACGATGCTGTCAGTCTGAGGTCCGAGGAGGACGAGTTTATTGAGGAGGAACCCCAGTCCGAGGAGGATGAGGGCCTCAAGGAGGACTCTGATTGCCTTGAAGATGATGTGCTGGACGAGCAGCAGCAGGAGGAGGAGGAGGAGGAGGAGGTGGAGGATGATGCCAGCTACTGTACAGAGAGTAGCTTTCGGAGTCAGAGCACACACGCCAGCACTCCGGGTAAATACCCAGTATGATGAAGCAGTGGTAGAGAGTCTGAACATACACTGCAGGGTTGGGGGAGACATCCCTGAACGCAGCTGCTGATTGTTTTACATCGGTGCAGGAAGCAGTAAGGTTATTGTTCAAAATGGAGAATGCACACTGTATGAACACAGGCCGCAGTCATTAATGCTACTGCAGGTGCATTCAGTCGGTAGCTGTGTCACTAGCTCACATTGTCGCCATCACCGTCTGTCTACGCACCTTGAAGCACGCCTTTGATAATAAGTCTCACACATTTTAAGCAGAGCCGCGAATGCCTCCATCTCCGGACATTATTCACTCAGCAACTTAGCTGCTAGCTGCTAGCGTGCTAACGTTAGCGGGTAACGTTAGCTCATGCTGCCAACTGTCAAGTCTGTGTTACTTAACGTTGGCTAACGGCAACTTCACGTATCTATAGCAACCCTCAACACTGACTGCTTTTTATGTGGATAAGACTTTAAAGTTTGTGTTTGAAGCGGATTGCAGATAAAGTAGAGAGAGCGAGCTAACTAACTAACTTAGCTTGGCTAGCATGCCTATCGTTTTCTCTGTTTGTCAGTTTTCAACTTAGTTAGCTTCACAATTAATCACTCCAAAACTCACTAAAAGGAGGACAGCTAATTTCTTTCACGGTTTAACATCGAGAAAGAAGGGTTAAAGTGTGTGGCCGGAGTAACTTTTATGTTACTATACGACTGGATGTAAGTTAGGAGTATGAGGAAGCCCTAGTGACACTAGCTAGTCTGGTCGTGTGTTGAGCCAGCTCAATGTTGGAGGTCCCGTTGTAGTAAGATGGTTATTACTATACAGTCCGATATTAGACCTGGGTGATATCGATAGAATGAAACATCAGTGTTTTTGACTCTCAGTCCTTTCATACAACCATAAAACATAAAAACATATCAGTTTTTTCCTCTGCTTTAGCCTGTGGATCAAAGAGCTGTTATTATGCTTTACTAATATCATTTGTGTATCCTACAGGGAAGAAAAAAGTACGGCCCCGACCTCGCACCCCCATTCTCGAGGAGAAGGAGATTCCTCCTCTTGTGCTTCCTGACTCCTCTGAGGACCTTCTGGTGCCCAATGAGGAGCTGCTCAATGCCACCTCCATCTACGAGGTGGTACGGAACTTCAGTACAGTGCTTCGTCTCTCCCCCTTCCGCTTTGAGGACTTCTGTGCTGCACTGGTAGGCCAGGAGCAGTGCACGTTAATAGCAGAGACCCATATTTCCCTCCTGAAGGTCATCCTGCGCGAGGAGGACTCCTCCAACACTACCTTTGGCCCCGCTGACCTCAAGGACAGTGTCAACTCCACCTTGTACTTTATTGACGGCATGACATGGCCTGAGGTGTTGCGGGCGTACTGTGAGAGCGACCGGGAGTACCATCATGTCCTTCCATATCAGGAGGCGGATGAGTATCCCTACGGTCCACTTGAGAGTAAGATCAAGGTGTTGCAGTTTTTGGTGGACCAGTTTCTCACCACCAACATCGCCCGGGAGGAGCTGATGTCTGACGGCAGCATGCAGTATGACGACCACTGCCGTGTGTGTCACCGCCTGGGGGACCTGCTTTGCTGTGAGACCTGCTCAGCAGTCTACCACCTGGAGTGTGTGAAACCACCGCTGCAGGAGGTTCCAGAGGACGAGTGGCAGTGCGAGATTTGTGTGGCACACAAGGTGCCTGGTGTCACAGACTGTGTGACGGAGGCACAGAAGAACCGGCCATACATCCGCCAGGAGCCCATTGGATATGACCGCCACCAGAGGAAATACTGGTTCCTAAACAGAAGGATTATAGTGTAAGTTAGGACCCTCAAAGCCTTTCTGTTCCATTAGAATTACCTTTCCTTCTGTGCCAACAGCTTTGTGCCTTATAACAGATTACAGTGAATGTGCATTCAGCACCACTGAAAACAAATAGGCATTACTTTATCATTCTTATTGAACTGGGTGAAAACATTGAGACCAAGAATCTCATTTTTAAGTGTGACTGTAATGAGAAAATACATTCAAAACAAAAAGAGAGAGACACAAAAAAAGCATTGTCAACACCAATACAGTGGTGTATAACTTGGTTAAACACAATAGCATGTGACAACCCCTTCAAAGCACATGGCCCAGGTACACTGGGCAGCAACTCTGTGTTATAATACATCGACTTTCAGTGGAGTCATGTAGTAATAATCAAAGTTCTGTTAAAAACGAATGTGTCCAACAAATTTTAGTATAAAACGTAGCACAATGAATTATTGAGGTTTGTATTTTAAATGTGTGAAGAGGTCTGTTTGACATATTACAGAACACTGGAACACAAATGCAATGAACATCATGATGATTAGCTTGCACATATTTTTGTGTACCTTTTTGGTATCTGTTTTTCATTACCCTACAGGTAGTCTAAGTCTGCTTGTATAAACAGCTTACAAGGAATGGTATGATTCATATTTAATATTAGCTATTTACCTCAATACACTGTGGGAAACTGTGTAAAGATCTGAGGTGCTCAGCTTAAAACAGGCCACCATAGACATGAAGCAGTGTATATGTAATTATTCAATCAAATAATGGCAAATTTAAAAAATGTGTGGAAACAACATTGCAGCCACTGTCCTAAAAGGTAGTCTCAACTTACTCGACCTACCTCTAAACTGTGTGTGTGTGTGTGTGTGTGTGTGTGTGTGTGTGTGTGTGTGTGTGTGTGTGTGTGTGTGTGTGCGCTGTCCCAAGCTACAATGTGAAACAGCTGGAGAGTGAAACTGAAAGTTACCAGGAAAGTCACTTGGCGCATAGAGAGCAACATGCTTCCATGAATTAAATCATCTCTTTGACTGGAGGTTATAAAAGAGACATACACTCCAAGCCCTTTTTTCTTTACTGGCAGTGATGTCTTTCCTGATCGCCGCCTCCTCACCCCCACCCCAAATATGAGTTCTGTTTGAACACAGTCTTTACAAATAGGAGGCTGAATTCACCTCCCTGTCAGGCAGGATCTGACAGAGGCTTTTAATGTTTTTGATTTTGTAGAGAAAAAAGACACTCGATGCTTGAGCTGAACTGTTGTGCACCAACAGAATATTAATAAGTAAATGAGCAGTCTGCCGGAGTCACAGTTTAACCTTCCCTTGACACTCAGTATTATCTTGAACCTCATTAGCTTCCTTTACAAATGTCTGGTATCATTTAGTATGAATCAGCTTGTGATTGCATTTGAGTTCTAGTGTGGAGAAAATTGCTTTTTCCTTAGCTAGCTTGCCCAGGGTTCTCCCTACTGTTTATACGTGTCTCAACAGAGTGCAGAATTTACTTAATCCAACTCAAAGATTAGAGGATAACGCTTCTTTAACAATAGATCAAACTCACAAAAATATATGAGGTATTTACCCACCAGTGGGATTATTTTACTAGGTAATATAAACGAATTAATCAGTGATTCAGTGTTGTGTGAGGCCCTGTTTGATACAGTGAACATTGTACTGTAACAACACCTTGCAGTGAAGTGGAGGAGAAAGTAAGTTTAAAAACTGTTCTGTTCTGTTCCCCAGTGAGGAAGATGGGGAACATGAGAAGAAAAAGATCTGGTACTGTAGCACCAAGGCGCAGCTGGAGGAGCTCATGAAGTGCCTGGATAAGGAGTATTGGGAAATGGACCTCTATGCCACCCTGGAGGAGATGAAGGAAGAAGTGCAAGCCCACATGGACATCACAGAGGACCTTACCAACAAAGCCCGAGGAAACAGTAAAGCCTACCTCACTGCCGTCAACGGTACGGATTTGATATTGTCTTCACTCCCCAGAATAGAAATACATTCGAAGCATGTAGTAGTGTAATCTTCTGGTATTTGTGAGTAGGATATTCATGTGAACAGCAGTTGAAGGTAACAAGGAAATCATTCATCTGACAATTAATGAGTGACTCAAGCTGAGCAGTGAATGTATGTGTCCGTTTGCATCCTGCAGTTTTACATTCAGAAACAGTCTATATCTTCAGATAACACAGTTCCTCCCCTCAGGCTGCAGGGCTCTGCTGTGTTGACAGTTGGCTCAGAAATGTTAGATGCTGCCTTTTCTTTCTGTTTCACGCTTTCTACAAGCAACTGTTGTTCCCCCTCTACCTCCCCCTCTAGTGGTTAGAAGACGTTTTGGTTATTATGCCAGCAGTTTCCGTTTCAGTTTGACAGGCTGACATATATAACAGTTTCCTATGTGTGTCACTTAAACAGTCTTATTTCAGTTGAGAGAGACAGTGGTGTACTGTCTTTTATCGGGGATGTTCCTTTGGCAGTATGTCAAAAACTAGAGGTTTGAATAGTTATTGTGCAGCCTGAAATGGAAGAAAAGATGTTTTTGTAAAGCCATTGCAGTTGGTTTTTTGTCCCATCATAAGTGATTTATGGGTGTTGCTGGTATATTTCATCTGTTAAAAGCCCACTGCCGCTGCAGCAGCACAGTGTGGCCTTCCCTGCACCTTGCTTTTCTTCCTTTTAAGCTGGTTGAGACACAACTGTTTCTGTGCTGCTGAACACTGTAGTTATAAAACGCAGCCCTCTTGAGATTTTGGCTGTCTGAGGAAAGAAACTCCTGCCCTGTCTTGGATCTCTGTGAATGGGAAGAGCTTTTATTGCTGGGTTGACTGAGTTATAGCCTCTAGATATGCTAGCATCTATGTACACAAATTATTACTATGTTATTATATTTGATCTATTACATGTCAGATAATCCAGTTAAAGGTTACCTGGAGCAGTTTATCGTAGGAATAGGCTGTGCTCCAGTTGCCTGGTTAGGATGCTTCTTTCAAATATTTTTTGTAGAGCTGACACAATTCATAGTTACATGATACATGCTGATAGTAGTTTAATAGTTTTGATATGTCATAGTAAACTGAACATCTTTGGGGTCTGGTCTGATTCTCAGATAAAACACCTTGGGCTCTTTTACTATTTTTTATTTACATTTTACAGACACACAGATTAACAATTAATTCTGAAAATAATAGGCAGATTAAAAAACAGTGAAAACAATTGTTAGTTGCTGTTCCGTGTTTTTAATTGGAGGAAGTGATCCTCATATGGAAAAATGGGTAATGAAGAACGTTATTTTGCTTTACAGTATTATAACATTTCAGTGTTACCATTTAAAATCCATCATGCTGATGCATGGCTATATAATCGCTGCCTTTTTATTTTAAAAAATGAATATATTTTTGCTGTAGATGTGGTCATGGAGCATTTAAAGATCAGGCGAGAGGCACAGGAAGCAAAGACGCGAGTAGGGGACGCAAAGCAGGAAGCAGAAACGAGCCCTGTTAAGACAACAGAGGATGAGCTCACCTCACAGCTCAACGACAGAGAGCACAAAGACACTGAGCCCAAGGAAGATGCTAGTTCACAAGGTAAAAGTGGACTTTATGTACAGTATTCTTTGTTCTAAACCTCTCTTACACGCTATTTCTATTAAAGTAACTCCTCAACGGCAGACCCAGTAGTACTGGTAACAACAGGTGTTGTTTTCCCACATGTGCAAAGTGCTGTTGCTCTAATATTGGATGGTGGAACTGTGTTGATGTTTCTGTAGCAGTATCAAGACCTTTACCTCTGCTTGACTTGCTGATAAATAATATTATGACTCCGCTGGTGCTGTTTGCCCTGTGGATGTATGTCATACCACAGCAGCCACGGTTGCCCCTGCTATAGAGGAGACCTGCGCGTCAGATCTTAACCCCAGCTCGACCATGCAGGACGCTGCCACGCCGAAAACGGAGTCCCTCGACCCGAACAAGGAAGCACAGCCTGCTCACTCTAGGAGCCAGGAGAGTGGGGAGTGCCCTCCTTTGGCAAAGCAGCAAAGGCCAGGTACTCGGAGAACAAGATTGACTCGTGTTCACTCCAGTGTCCAGCTATCTGCAGCATCTTTTGCCATTCAAATCCTCCTTTCACTTCATACCCCGCTGCTGGGCTGCACATCCATCTTCATCTGTCTGCTTGTCTCTGCTGGTGGCTGCTAACCATTCCCTGCCTTTTTCGCTCTGCCCACTTGCCTTGTTGGGTGCATTGGGGTGACTATACTGATTTGCTTCTGTCTCTATACATTTGTAATGTTATAGTCAAGTCTCCATTTGTTTTAGAGACTGAAAACTAAATCCGGTTTATGCTAATTACACTTGAAGAGACGTTTCCAGGTTTTTTTTGTTTGTTGGTATATTATAATTAAGATAATGTACAACCATTCCTGGCAAACCTGGAATGATATGAAGGTGATTGAAGGTTTTTCTTTTCTTAGACCTCAGCCACGTCTACAAGGCTTTAGAAATCACTCCAATCGCTCTGTCTGACAGACCAATGTTTCACTATTCCCATGGGAGTTTAGCATCATGTTTCTTGCTATGCTAGTCACAAATACTGTATGTACTGTTGGTCTCAGTTTGCTTTTGTTCAGGCAGATTCTGCTTATTGTGTTGGCTGGTTGCTGTTTAATGGAGCACTTGTGTTTTTCCCTTCTGTTTAAATGGCTTCAAACGGGATACTGTGCCTCTCTGACCATGTTATATTACATATTTCCCAGCTGACAATTGTGTTTCCTGAGCTGAATTTCTAATTCCATCATTAAGTCATCCTTTATTTGAGCAGCTCAACCAAAAAATTGTAGCTCTCACCACTCATGCAACACTGGAGTGACCATAATTAGCCTGATCCTTTTCAAATTCCCTTTCACAGCATCTCATCATTATCTTCAGTAAACATCTAATTAGATGGTGAGAAAATATTTTCTCCTCTCATTTAATTTTTCCTGAGAGACCTTAAGCTGTTTCAGGCCATTTTCTGCAATTTATTTCATCTTGACCATCTCTAAACATGGAACGGAAGCTGTGGCATTCAGCTTCTGCCGTGGTCGCTAAATGTTCCATTTATTTTTTGGTGCATTCATTTCTTGTCTTGTGTTATATGTTGTTTCCTGAGCTCACGGTCTTGAAAAGCACACTTTTGGCACTGTGGTAGACGGCGTCCCTGGCAGCCGCTAGCACGCCACGTCTGTCACAACCGGCTCCTTATTCTCATTCCAATTTATGGGCATTTGGGTGGGTTCCTGTTGCTCAGACAAAAGGCTCTCTGCCTGGAAGCCCCACCTGCTACCTCGTCAACAAAGAGCTGCATATATATTCAGGACTCTATCCCCTAACAACTCAAAAGCAGGGCTGGTGTCTTAATTTGGCTTTGGAGCAAGTGCACAGCTTGTTTTAGTAGCTTTCCCTGTCCGAGATTGGGTTTGGTTTTATAGGGCCTAGCTGGACTGATCAAGTTTGTTGTCATATGCAAATCTTAAGTCCCAAGACCTGGTGTTAGATTGAACAAAATCTGGCCGAGCTATGTTGAGAATTTCCTAATTGCAAAATTAGAATTTTTGTCAATATTGTTGTAGGTGTTTGTGTTTACACAGCTGCCATATTTGCCTAAAGCACATAGCTTGTTATTAATATTATTCGGTTTCACTCCCTGCATCCCTTATATTTGCTTTTTTTTATGCCTCTGCTCAGTCTTTCCTAACATATTTTTTCAGATGAGGACACGAAAGCAGAGTCTAGCAGTGACGACCAGCAGCCTGACGAGTCGCAGGCACAAACCCAAGATCGGCCACAGCAGCAGTCTTCTCAGCCAGAGGCGAATAGTGATAGCAGCCAGGTTTCCGGATGTGGGACCCTCAGGAAACCAGAGCAGCCTGACCTGGCTGATCGGTCCTCTCAGTCCTCTTTCACCAGCCAGGATGGGACAGGTAAACATGAGCGAGGCTCGTCAGCACAGAAAGTACACACCCACACCAACTTTGGAATCAGTTCAGTCGTTTTAAATTGTCTCTGTGTCTGTTTGAATGCTCAATCAATGAGTTTGTTGCTGCATTGATAGTGTCATGTGCTTTCTGAATGATAGATGAGTATAATGAAAGGTTCAAGACTGATGGAGGGAGTGCAGGTGGACCTGAATCCAATAACCAAACGCCTAGAGGCAGCAAAGAGGTGAGACTTGTCTTTTGTTTTGTTTTTAAGCTGCATGTCAAAAACAAAAAACATAATTTAATTCTACAGTTTTTTTAATTTTCTGTTTGTTTGTTTAAAAATGAAAGAAGCTAGGACTGACAACAAATGCTGAGTACTTACTTAAGTGTGTCCATAGCATCTAGGATCCTGTATTTCATTTAGCTCTTTAAGTTAGCATGAACACTGCACTGACTAGTTGTTGATCAAATGAAGAAAAAGTTTTGTATCGGCACGCTTATAAAAGCAGCTTTTATTTTTATGTCTAGTATTAAGTTTGAATGTAATGTTCCCTCTCATGTTTCAGTCATCTCCCGTATGCTCTGCTGGTGAAGCTTTGCGTCTCAGCTTCTTAAAAAGGGACCTGACCGTGAATTTGAACAACTTGTTCAAACTGGGTCAGGAGGGTAAATACAGGGTCTACCATAACCAGTACAGCACCAATGTCCTGGCTCTAAACAAGCATCAGCATCGCGAGGACCACGACAAGAGACGCCACCTCTCCCACAAGTTCAGCCTGACCACCGCGTCTGAGTTCAAGTGGAATGGCTCTATCTACGGTTCGCGGAGCCTGACTGTCTCCACCCTGCGTCTCACCATCATCCAGTTGGAGACCAGTGTCCCTGGACCGTTCATGCATCCCAACTGGGCATCGCACAGGTACATCTCAGATCAGGTTAATATGAAGCCCTTTTGGGAAATTCACTGTTGTTTCACAGGCTGCTACACAACAGCACCCTTTGAGCTGGTAAGCAGGGAAAGATACATACTTCTTGGTGACTTAGTTTGTCGCCAAATTTCTGTCAAAAGTTATGGTCCCAGTGTGGTATTTAGTGGGTGATGCTTGCACTGATCTGGCAGGAAGTTCAGACTTTTAGGAAATATGCTCAGTCAATTTCTTGCCGGGAGTTAGATGATAAAGCCTGGCTCTGTCCAAACGTAACAAATTCTGCCTACCACCACCTCAGAAGCTCACTTATCTTAGCATCTTATTTTTTTAATATGTACAAAAACTGAAATATGTAAACACCAGACTAGTTCTTGAAAAGAGCCAGGCTAGCTCCTCCTCCCCTGTTTTCAGTCTTGGTGCTAAGCTAACCAGTTCCAGGCTATACACCATATTTACAGTACAAACATGAGAAGTGGTATCAGTCTTCTCATCTAGCTCTTGGCAAGAAAATGAATTAGTGTATTTCTATTCCTTTAAGGGTGCAAAAATAATTCATTTTGGTATCATGACCCATTTTTACTGGTATGAGAGTTTGAAATATGATGAAGTTCTATGGAAGAAATATGCAGTTATGCTGTGTTATCTGTTTTTTCTAGGACCAACTGGAACAAAGCAGTACAGATGTGCAGCAAGGCCAGGGAATTTGCTTTGGCCCTGGCCATACTGGAGTGTGCCATCAAACCAGTGGTCATGCTGCCCGTATGGAAAGATTCCCTCGGACACACAAGGTAAAGGAAAACTAGATGCTTGAATGAACTGCATGAACTGGTGGTTACAGTAGGCATGTCACGATACCAGAAATGTAGTAGTTGATACCAATACCATTGACATTTCTTAATTTTAGTTACCAATTTGATACCACTGTAAAAAACTAAAACAAAACGATAAATCCCATGTACTTCAATATACACTCCTTTTATTAACAACATTTAAACATTACAAAAAATAACAATAGTGGCCCTTTTCCTAAAAGATGTGTTGTTATTTACTTAATTCACTGCTGAACTCACACATCTGCTCACCCTGCTTTTCCCTTCAGTGCTCTTTTCTATACACACACATACATAATCTGTCTCTCTTTTCTCTCTCTGTCTCTCTCTCTCTCACACATTGGCTTGCTCTCAGTTTCTCTCTCCCTGTATGTGTCTCTTTTGACTTTCTTTGGCAGTATGTTTTATAAAATCACCCAAAAAAACACAACTTGCATTTGAGATTTTCTGCTCACTTAAAGTATATTAACATGTAGTTTGCTTTACAAAAGACTAAGAGGACTCAAGCTACTCACAAGCTAACTCATCACTACCACAGTGATTTTTCTATTTCAATGCTGCCCATGCACCTTACATCGTTGTTATATACTTTACCGTCTTGCTTCAGGTTGCACCGCATGACCGCCGTGGAGCGGGAGGAGAAAGAGAAGGTGAAGAAGCGAGAGAAAAAACTGGAGGACGAGGAGACACTGCAACAGGCCACTTGGGTCAAGTACACCATCCCTATCAAGCACCAGGTAAAAAAAACAGCGTCTTTCTATCTGTCATCCAGGTTTAACGTCATACATACATACTGACATAGAGCAGTGGTTCATCTAACTGTTGAACTAACTATTCCAACTATTTATCCAGTACTTTTACCTGTTCACACCTCTGTTTGAGAAATAGGTTTTCACACACTGTCAATTGTCATCCATGGTGTTCAAATCATTAAATAATCATAATCATTGTCAGGAGGGCTATTCTGTATACTTGACAAACATCCATGTTAAATTGATGCTTTCAGCAGTACTATATGGATGTGTATATTTTCACTTTAAGGGGTTTTCAGACAGGGTTGAAACAATTTGACTGTTGGTGTGGGCTCAGAACATGTAATAGTCTCCCTCATTGACAGTATTTATATTGGACAAAGCTTCTGGGTTTGTGAAGTGAAGCCAACGCAGTAAGTATCTAAAATAGGAAGTTGATACTGTGTTTTAATGTGTATATATGTTCTCTGAAATAAATTGGTTCTTTATCTGAAAGCCTCATTATTTTGTGTTTTTCTATCAAGGTGTGGAAGCAGAAGGGTGAGGAGTACAGAGTGACGGGGTACGGTGGCTGGAGCTGGGTCAGTAAGACTCGTGTGCCACGGTTTCTTCCAAGGCTACCAGGGAACACAAATGTAAACTACCGCAAAGAACTAGAGGGTAAGGGCTAAACATGGCATGATTCCATCAATAAATTCTCCTACTGCTGGCACTCTTGGCTCACACTATTTTATATATTATATATTTAATTATTTTCTTTTCTTCTTCTTTTTTTGGCTGTGTTGACAGCAGCTAAAATGAGCAAGGAAAATGCAGTAGCTGGCACAGATGAGCAGAAAAAGTCCACGGAAACCGAGAAGCAGAATACTCCAAACACAGCGGACGAGGACAATGGACAAACATCCATCACTGCGTCATCTCAGAGCACTTCATCAGAGAAGGACAACTGTCAGACGTCCAAAGAGGAAGAAAAACCCATGGGGGAGGAGCAGGGAACAAATGAAGAAGAGAAGAGAGAAGATGACAAAATGGAGGTTGACTCCTGCTCAGAAACTGCTGCTTCAAGTGACGAGAAAGGTAAATGTTTAAATTGATGCTGCTATATGTTTAGGACAGATATATGTTTCGACCATCCACTGACCTCTGATCTTTGTTAAATAGCTGAAGCTGATAAAGCTGAAAGCAAAGAGCCCTCCTCGCCTTCTGTGGAGCCTGTGAGGGAAGAACCAATCCAGAAAGTTGAACAACCCATGAAGGAGGAGGCCACTGCACCAAAGCCCTACTACGATGTTGTGAATGTCAGCGAGGGCTTCCAGCTGCGGACAGCTTATAAGAAGAAGGTGAAGCCCTCCAAACTGGATGGGCTTCTGGAGCGCCGGGTTAAACAGTTCACCCTGGAGGAGAAGCAGAGGCTAGAGCGGATGAGACAGACAGCCCTGCTCTCCAAAATGGCTGCTGCCAAGCCTACCTCTGGTGTTAAGACTGAAGGATCCACATCAGGCAAACAGCAGCCTGCTGTGGCCCCATGTGTAAAAGAAGAGAAGGAGGAGAGCCTTCCAGTGAAAGACCATGTGGTTAAAAGGCTTCACTTTGAGCAGGAGCAGACAGAGTTAAAGGCAGACAACATGGATGTCAAATCAGACACCACATTACCCAACCACAGCAAACAAATGGAGGTAAATGCTGTGCAGGGTAACGGCAGGGAGGCCTTATCTCACATAGAAGTGAACGGAGGACCCTTGGCGAGCACTGAGCTAAACAGTAAAAACAATTGTATGTCGGATGCAATGGACAAAACACAGAAACCAGAGGTGGCTCGAGTGGGAGAGAATGCCAAGAAACGTGCATATGAGGAAATGGAAAAAGGCAGTGAACAGAGTGACACAGATGGCATGGTGGTAGACCAAAGCAAGACCAGTCCAGTGCAGGTGAATGGGAAGGCTGGGGGTACAGCCCTTGCAGGGTCAAACGTCAACTCAGAACCCGCAAGTCGAGTCCAAAGTGATATTAAAGAGCCTCAGAAAGAGTCTGTCAAGTCCCTGATGAATGGGAAACCTCTCGCAAAACGATGTGTCCAACATATGTCATCCACCTCCCTTGAAAGTCCCCAAATTAGAGAACCACGTGGCAGAGAAAGGGGACTCTCTCAATAAGAATGAGGATGTGGACAAGAACAGTGAGGAGACAGTACCCGCTAAGCTTCCATCCTCAAGCCCCTCTTGCCTGAATAGTAATAGCACCGACACTAGTGGTGAAGGTTTGAAGACTTCCTCTTCCACAGAGTCTCAAAATGAACCACACTCTGACGTCGTGTCTAAAGCAGCAAGTAGCGCCGTCTCCTCTGTTACCACCACCCCAACCCAGTCCAGCTGCAAGGCAGTTGTCCCCCAGAATATCAAACTTCCTGTCACTGACACCAAGATGGTCACTTCTGGTTCAGCAACAACCAGCTCGATGACGATTAGTAAAGAGTATTCCACCAGGGACCCAGTGAGCCTTCTCAGGTTCTCCAAATCCAAGAAGGCACGCTCGGGGACGGCCCTGCCGTCCTACCGCAAGTTTGTCACGAAGAGCAGCAAGAAGAGCATCTTCATCCTGCCAAATGATGATCTAAAGAGACTGGCGAGGAGGGCAAGCATCAGAGAGGTGCCCATCTTCAACTACAATGCCAAACCGGCCCTGGATATATGGCCCTACCCTTCACCTCGGCCCACTTTTGGGATCACATGGAGGTTGGTAACACATTTAAATCTTTTTACTCATTGTTTGGGACACAAAAAATTACATTAAAGTTTTCTTTTAATTATTTGAAGCAGATTTAAGATTTACAAACCAACTTTAGATCAGACACTACAAATGTCTGTCCATATTGTGTTCACACGGCAATAATAAGAGATTCTTTTGATTCATGAGCACTGTATTATGTTACCAGGATGGAAAAATAAAAATACGGTAAGTTAAAGTAAGTGTGCAAAGACATAGCTCAAGTCTGTTATAACTGTTACCCATTTAGGTACCGTCTCCAGACTGTGAAATCGCTGGCAGGGGTCAGCCTGATGCTGAGGCTGCTGTGGGCCTGCCTGAGGTGGGACGACATGGCCGTTAAGCCCTCTGCTGCCGTAGGGACTACTCGGAAAGGTGACAAAATGCTGAAGTTTCCCTTTGAGGGAGCCGTCTTACATTAGTTTCGATTTTATGCAGCTTCATGTGTTTAATCTCTTTGCTTGTTACTGCTAAAACACATTTGGTCACCACCTACCAATGCATGGATGTTAAATCATTCTGCTAATATGTTTAATTCTTGCCACAGAAACCACAGACACAGACATCATTACAACAGAGATTATAAAACGAAGAGACGTGGGGCCTTACGGCATCCGCTCTGAATACTGCATCCGGAAGATTATCTGTCCCCTCGGAAACAGAGAAACTCCCAAAGGTAAAAAATTAAAAGCAAGATCCATTCCTGGAAGTGTTCTGGCAACTTTTTATAAGGATAATGAATATTTGTTTCTCTTTTCCTGTGAGCAGAAACTCCCACTCCACAAAGGAAAGGCCTGCGATCAAGCGCCTTAAGGCCCAAGAAGCAGGAGCCAGCCAAGCTGACTGGGCCTATTGCTGTGGAGACATGGGTGCTTGAGGAAGACCTGGAGCTGTGGGAGATCAGGGCATTTGCAGAAAGGTGAGAAACACACAGCGAGCCTCCTCTGTCCAATCAGTTTTGATAAGCTGATACAGCACTGACCAAATTGTCACCTTTTTCCTTGGTATTACAGAGTAGAGAGGGAGAAGTCACAGGGTCTTGATCCCTCCAAGACTGGCAGTAGTTTGAAGACAGCAGAGGATGTCAAGGCCCATTTGGAGAATCAGCTGAAACAGGCCCGACTGGCTGCCCAGCAGGTGGGAACACTGTACACACCATGGTGTCTGCAGAGTCTATAAAAGTCTAAAAACCAATTATCTGAATGTTAGTTATGTGTTGGGAGATCAACAAACTCTCTTTATTTCTAAAATTGTGTAACATTTTGGTTTTAGAAACGTCTGGAGCAGCAGAGACCGAGTACAACTGCCACCACTCCCTCAACAACAACCACCACCACCTCAGCCAGCACTCCCAGCACCCCATTGTCCATTGGCCAGCGGACTGGTCAGGTCACATCTGGAACCAAGATGGTCCTGGCCTCGAAACTGGGTTCTCCAGTTTCCTTCCAGCAAGACAAAAACTTCCATCAGTCTTTTGCTTCCTGGGTCAAGCAGGGTCAGACCAGCAACAGCTCAGGTAAGCCGGATGATGAGGATTTGAACCTACACACCTCAATAGAAAGGATTCTCAGCTATCACATCCTGTTAGAGACAGACAGACAAAGGTCTTTGTCACAAGACTTTTTTTGTCTTCATTTTATTTATTTTTTTAACCGTCGTTTGACCACCATCAGTTTGCAAGAAGTCAATCATCGGCATGACTTTCCACAACTCTTCGTTTTTGTGTGTCAATTTTCTACATTGGTAAATGTGATCGGCTTGCCAAAATGGCTTTGTGGCTCGTGGTGTCCACTTTCAATCCTGTTAAAACTAGATTTAATTTTTTTTAATCCCATTATATCCTAAGTGGCTATGGGCAGCCTGTTTATAATTAGATTTTAAACACATGGCAAGCCAAAATTCCAAACTCTTTATTGACTTAAACCTTCCGGTGGACACCACAGCCGTAGACTGGCTGTCGTGGTGGCCCTTGTGGGTACGCGTGACTGCAGGTGGCATGGTGTGTCTTGCAGCCTCCACTGGCTCGGTGGCCACCGTGGCTAGCAGCATCACCACCTCAGAGCAAGCCTTCCAGATCGCTGGCAGCCCAGTGACTGTGGCTGGCCAGGTCCTCGCCGCCAAACTCCCGCTGCCCGCTAACAGCAAGATTGTCACGCTCAACATGCCCACCACTCAAGGAGGTAGGGAGCACGAGTGTCATCCATTTGCGCTGGTTTGGGCTTACACTTGCCAAAATGGATGGAAATCATGTGAGAGGCAAAAACTGCCTGTGATAATATTGGCGCTGAGCATGGATGATGCAACCAGTTTTTTTATTTTTTTTTTAGTAGATGTAAAAGCTTTTTTCTCTCTGAGCTTTTCTCTGAGTTGTGTGTAACTACAGTACTGTTAAACCGTGAAGTGAAGCTTTTTCAGTTGCTTTAGAGATTTTCTTTTTAACAAACAAGACATTCTTCCCCACAAAATGCATGCCTCGCTACTTCTATACATCCTTGACGTGTTTTACTTCATGTACCCAACTCATGTTTGCGTCTTTCCTTATGTAATCTTTCTTGTCAACAGGCGTGGTCCAGCAGAAAGTCCTGAGCATTTTCCCCTCTGGACCCCCTGCAAACCTTAGGACATACAGCACACTACACCCTACGACTGGCAACATCAACCTCAGAGCCACCACCTCTGCCTCAACTACCCAGCAACAGGTCTTTAGTCTTTCACTCTGTCCTTCTCAGTTTTTACCTAAAGGTAACGACAATGTTGAGCATGATTATTGATGATTTTACCTTTGACTTTGTGTTCCAGGCCATCACAACAGGAGGCCAAACACAGCTTGGCACGACGATGAGCCAGTCACCTACCCAGTCTACCTCTGTGGGCACCGCAATGATCAGAGGTCCAACGCCGGCTCAACAAGGTATTCTGCCCAACTGATCATTTCCATTTTGCAGCCCTTTGTGGCTCATTTCTAGAATTAATTCTTAAAATTCTTAATCCCTCTTTATCACCTGCAGGCCAACCTCAGCACGCTGTGACCCAGACGGGCCGCAGCCAGCCTGGATCCTTAGCTGCGCCTGGTCCTGCGTCTGGGCAGACAACTGCAGCTCAGAGAGCAGCAGGTGTTGCACCATCACCTCATGCAGCCACCACAGCACCTGGACAGTCACCTGTAGCTTCCCCCCAAGCCAACAGACCACAGCAGGGTCAAGTTAAACTCACTATGGCACAGCTCATGCAGCTAACGCAGGGTGCTCAGGTGGGCTCACATTGTTTTGTCTTTTCGTCACTACTAATACACACAGTTATATTTTACTTTGGTAATGAAAGTCCATGCATCCACTTAAACAGCGTCTTTAAACCTTTGTCTTTTCATCTCTACTTGAAGTCTTTAAAAAGTTTTGTTTTAATTCTCATAACTTTGTTTTGAATGGTGCTGTATAAATAAAGTTTAGAATTGTATCACTGTTAGCTGAAGGCAAAATTCCTTTTGTCTACAATTCTGCAGGGTGGAAACCCAGGTCTGACGGTGGTGATCCAGGGTCAGGGCCAGACCCAGGGACAGCTGCAAATTATCCCACAGGGTGTAACAGTCATCCCCGGTCCTGGTCAGCAGCTAATGCAGGCCGCCATGCCCAATGGCCAGGTCCAGCGCTTCCTATTCACTCCTATGCCCCCATCCTCATTAGCTTCAACTTCAATACCCACTACTGCTTCCCCTACAAAGCCTGCTGTAGCTCAGACCCCTCAAACCCAAGGTCTGGCCCAAGTCCAGACGACTCCTTCAGCCCTAGCCCAAACCCAAATGGCTGCCCCTTTACCTGCCCCAACACATGTTGCAGCTCCAGCTCCAGCACAAATGCCACGTTTGGGCCCTACCACGGTACAAACCCAAGTTTCAACCGCTACCCCATTATCAGTCCCGACACAACCTCAAATATCCACTCCTGTACCTGCCCTGCCACACATGGCAGCCCAGGCCTCAACACAGGTTCTATCTTCCACACCAACCTCTGTCCCAGCACAAATGGCAAGACCTGTGCTAACCCCAGCACAGAATGCAGTCCCAGCCATGGTGCAAAACCAAGTCTCCACCCATACGCCAGGCTCATTCCCTACACAAACCCAAACCGCAGTGTCACTGTCTGTCCCAGGACAAGTGGCACCTCAGTCACAGCTCCAGACACACGCCTTCAGCCCTGCTCCAGCCTTAACCTCAGCCCCTGTCCAGATGCACGTTACTGTTCCAGCCCCTGCTTTAGCCCCCCTCTCAGGCCCGTCTAACTTGGTTCAGATGCCTGTTTCTGCCTCTCTTCCCTCACCTGTCCAAGTTCCAACCCCTGCTCTTGCTCCAGTCTCTGCTCCCGTCATAGCTGTTGTGTCCAGTCAATTAGCTGTCCCGTCCCCAGCCAAAGCTCTAACCCAAATCCAAGCCACAGCTCCTGTTCCGCTCCATGCCGCTGTGGCCAGTGCTGTTGTCACACCCGTGACAGCCACCTCTACAACACCGTCAGTGCCAGGTAAAGAACCCACCGCATATCTCAGAAACACACATTAACACCATCCTGTTTTAGTCATTACACAATGGTTGGCTTTTTTTTAACACATTGCCTTTCTTTACTTCTCCCTCCTGTTGTAGCTCTGACAGAGCAGAAGGCAGCTCA